CACTAATCTAGGCATGAAAAAAAAGCGGTGAACTAAACTGTTCTTGTGGATCTTACATTGCAGTGGGGGGGAAGTGCACTAAACAACCAGAGCAACTACAGAACATGTTATTCACCCAAAGCAGAAATCAGGTGAAGAGAGGGAACAAGAGTGGATGGTACTTTGAGCTTGGTAGTTAAGGAAGGCCTCTCTGAGGAAGAGACATCTAACCTGACACAGGAGTAAAGAACCTTGTGCATTTGGTTCGGCTCTGAAGGGCTCAGCTTCTGCATAGTCCCCTGTCCTCCAAGGTCAGAGAAAAAGGAAGAACACGGATTTTAGTAAGTCTTCTTAAGGGTTTCCAGCTCATATCTGTGGGTGCAGTCTGCATGTAATCTTTTCTTCTGCATGCTGCCCTGTTCCAGCACCAGATGAGGAGACAGCAAACTTACAGGGACTGCTTAATGAGTTCCTGCCATTACAGAAGGCCCTTTCATTATGAAAAATCTGTACACACAGGTATTATCGCCTACTGGTTCTGCTTTCCTGGTTGAAGGTTGATTGATATAGATTTTGGTAATAAGTGTGATTTCAGAAGAATAGAATTTTAAGAAGAAATTCTCTGAAATTGTTCTGGGTTTCTGGAGTTCCCTCATTTATCTGATTTGTTTTAAACACCTTCATGACCCTGTTTCTAATGGTAAAAGGGCACTGGTAGTCTACGGCAAGAAGTGGCAAGGGCTTTTCTCAAATTATCACTTTTAGTTACTCGCACTCAAGCACCTGTAAGAATGCCAGCGTCTAGGTGACCAAGTAGGTGATTTCCGTAAACAAGTATCCTGGAACGTAAAATAAAATAAAAATTTTTAAAAGTACAAAAATAGCCTACTATATTGGTGCAGGCCTATAGTCCCAGCTACTCTAGGGGCTAAGGTGGGAATGTCGCTTGGGATCAGGAGGCAGAGGTCGCAGTGAGCCGGGATCATGCCACTGCACTCCAGCCTGGGCAACAGAAAGACACTTTTTCTCAAAATTTAAATAAATGGATAAGTAAATAAATTACAAAAAATAACGTAGTAGTGAAAATGATAAGTATAATGGAGATGACCAGTTGCCTCTAAATGTGCTGGAGAACATAGGAAAAGAAAATTATGACATCAGGTCCTTAAAGCCTTATCCATATCCAGATGCACATAAATAACTAGAAAGTATCCCTGAAAGAAACCATTATCTCCTATAGCTGCAGAACGGATATTTGGGAAAACCAAGTCCAAAGCTGAATCTTGCGGCTGGCTGAATTACAACACGAATGCAATTCCTAATCTCTCAAGGTCTCTTCTGTTCATGTTAGAGCACTTATTGGGAATGAATGGGATCCTGAATATTTTAATGTGACATATATGCAGACTTTGATGAAGCTGAGTACCTTGAACCCCTAAATTCTGTGAGATATGTCTTTCAGACACCTAAAAAAAGGTGTAAAAAAGTAAAAAGACACCTTCACTCCCGCCTGAGGACTTTATTTCTCCTCTCCCTGAAGAACCTACAATAGTTTCATCTGAGGTAGTGGCCTTGCAGGATAATGCTGATCCTCCTGAAAAACTGCACCTACCACCTTTACTTCCTTTAAAACCCTGTAAAACTCATAGTTTCCACCAGCCCCAAACTAGAGGGTACATAGTGCAACCCATTAGTAAGGGTAGAATTTACTATAACAACTACAGATTTTTTTCCCAATGTTAATAGGCAGAAACCTAGGGACTTTGTGTGGAAATGCTTCTTGAGGGTGGGGTATGAAGGTAGAAAAAAAAATAAATTTGATACACACCAAATTTATTGATATAGAGTCATTAAGCCAAGGCTCTGGATTCAGTGTTTTTCTTTGAGAGGATAAGGATGGCTCTAGCAGTTTGCTTGCTTGGTTGACTTAAATAGGGAAGCAAATGTTGACTATCCTTAATTAAGGAGAAATTCAAGGTCTTCCTTGGTATATTACAAAGGCTTAAGGACACTGGAATGTTAGAGTGAATTTATCATGGAAGAACTGCTCAGCCACGCTGGTAGGTCCAGAGGACGTGACTTTCACCAAGGCTGCAAGAAATTACTTTGTATGGGGAGCCCAGAAATCTGTGAGGAGTTTGCCGTAGCTCTCTTCTTTACTCAGACATTACTGCAGGCTTGCCCTTCAGGAAAGATGATGCTGCACTGCCTAATAACTATGCTGTTAATCATTGTCCCAACCTTCCTCAACAGATCTGCGCCCACTTCTTACTGCGGCAGTGCTTGGTGGAAAAGTAATCAGAATTCTCAGGGATTACTTGATAAAGGCTCTGAACTGGTACTAATTACAGGATACCCAAAATGTCACTATGCTTTTCCAATAAGAGCTGTTTCTGTTAATCATGTGGTTTTACATCAGGTTCAATGTACAGTGGACTAAGTTGGTCCATGAATCCACCCTCTGGTTGTTTCCCAGTTTCAGAATGCATAGTTGGGAACATACACAGTGACTGGCAGAATCCCCACATTGCTTCCCTGACCTGTAGAGTGAGGGATGCTATGGATGGAGAGGCCAAGTTGAAGCCACTAGAACTGCCCTAATTATAAAAATCATAATCCACAAGCAATACTACTTTCCTGGAGGGACTGCAGTAACTGGTGATAACAGCAAGCATTTGAAGGACACAGGCTGGTGATTCTTCAGCCATCCCTTTCAACTGAATTATTTCTCCTGTGCAGAAATACATGGATTTGTGGCCAGGCACAGTGGTTCACGCCTATAATCCCAGCACTTTGGGAAGCCGAGGCAGGTGGATCACTTGAGGTCAGGAGTTCAAGACCAGCCTGACCAACATGGTGAATCCCTGTCCCTACTAAAAAATACAATTAGCCAGGTGTGATGGTGCACAACTACAGTCCCAGCTTCTCAGGAGGTTGAGGCAGGAGAATTGCTTGAACCCGGGAGGTGGAGGTTGCAGTGAGCTGAGATCACTTAATCGTTGTTACAATTCCAGCTGCTGTGCTCCAGGTGATTTTGTTATTTTAGTAATCGTGACAACCCTTGGGAACCTGATATAGCATATCAATTAGGTGAATTTTTTTTCTCTTTCAATAATTATCACAAACAAGAGTTTGGGTTCGGCTGGAAAGGTCAGCAATGTACTTTCACCTCCTATTTCAAGCTTGTATCAACTCTCTAGGCTTACATCCTAATTGAGTCCTTAAGGGACCTTGACCACCATTCCCTTATACCAGATGTGACACAATTCTTTGCCCTGATGACATTATGCTGACGGAGCAGGAGGTAGCAACTAATCCAGACACATTAGCAACACACTTGCAAGACATTATGTGAGAAATAATTCTCAAACGAAATCAGGGGCCTTCTAACTGAGTGAAACGTTTAACAGTCTAGTAGTCTGGCATGTCAAGATGGTGCTTATAAGGTGAACAGCAAGTTCCTATATCTTGCCTTTCTTACAACTAAATAAGGAACACAAAAACAAATTGTGTAACAGATGCTTGTTTTCACGTATACCTCAATGTTGTACAGTATCGTGACCCACTGACAAGTGACTGAAACCCTACTAGCATGGATTGGGGCCCAGAAAAAGAGAAGCTTCCCTAATCCTGCACCTGTGGTCTCATGTGGAGTTCCCTATGACCAGTTGACCAGAAAATAAAAAACATCATGCCTGATTTTCATTTGTTACTTCAGAATACGCAGGCACCACATGTATTAAGTTTGTAACTAATGCAAAAGAAATTATCCCCAATTCAGCAGCTTAAAATGACACAAACATATAAGCAGTTCTGCAGATCAGAAATCCATGCAGCCTGGATTGGTTTCTCTGCTTAGGATCTCACAAAATCAAAGTTAAGGTATCAACTAGGCTGCTGACTAATTGAGGACTCAGAGAGATACTGTTTTCAAGCTGATTTGGGTTATGGGCAGGTCTAACTTCTTAAAGTTGTAGAACTGAGGTAGCCATATACTTGTGGTCTCACTCTAAGCTACTTGAGCCACTTCCATACCTCCTTAGGTGCACCCTTCTATCTTCTAAGCAGTAATGGTGCATCATAATTATGGTAGCTGACATAAAGATTATTCATGGGTTTGGCAACATGAACTTTCACTTACCAGGTCCATCTCACTACAGCCACTGCTCACTATTCAATCTGCCAGCAGTAGAGACCAACACTGAGTCCCCAGTATGGCACCATGTCCCAGAGTGGTCACTCAGCTTCCAGGTAGCACTGTGATTACTTGAGTCTGCTTCCACAATTGAAGGGGCATCACTTTGTTCTTGCTCAAATAGACACTTACTCTGCATATGGATTTTCATTCCCACCCACGGTACTTCAAGAAAATCAATACTGTGGTATTAGGAAAGGCTGTATCCACCATCATGGTATCCCACACTGCACCAATTTTCAACATGAAACTCACTTTACAGGAAATGAAGTATGGGAATGGGTTCATGCTAATGGATTTCACTAGTCTTGTGATGTTCCTCAACATCCTGAAGTGGCTGGCTCAATAGAACAGTGGAGTGATCTTTAAAGCCTGACCGTAGTTCTACTCTGTGGCAGTGCCTTGAGGAGCTTAGCTGACAATCTCAGAGGTGGCAATGCTGTATCCCAGCCTTAAGTATAAGGAACTATTTCTCCCATAGCAACACCTATGTCTTCAAGAATGAAAGAGGCAAGATTCGGGCCTCCTCTCACTATTACTCCTGGGTATCTAGTAGCCAAATTTTTCTTTTTGTGCTCAAGAAGCAAAGTTTGCTCTCAAGTAACCAACTTTTGGCTCTGTTGAACTAGAGGTCTTAGTTACAAATTGAGACACTTTTTCAACAGGGGAACCAAAAATGATTCCATTGAAATGAAAATTGTGTCTGCCACCTGACCACTTTGAACTCTTCATTCCTTTCAACCAAGAGACAAAGTAGGGGGTCCACTACTGGCTCGGGTGATGAAAACCGAAAAAAAAAAAAAAAAAAGAGATTAGGGTTTCTACTACACTAGGGGCTCAGGAAGAGTAAGTCTGATATGTCTAGAGAGCTTCTTAGTCCTCCCGTGTTTGCAATTAGAGTTAATGGAAAATCACAGCAACCCCATCAAGACAGGATATCTAATGGTTCAGACTCTTCCATAATGAAGGTTTGATGAAGGTTTGAGCCATCCTGCCAGGCCAAGCACCATAAACCAATTGACATGCTATCTCAGGGCAAAGGGAATGCAAAATGGGTAGTGAAAGAAGGCAGTTATAAATACCAGCTACAACAATGTGAGCTGCTGCAGAAACCACGACTGTAATAATCTTTACCTAATGGGTTAATAATATCTACCAGCATAGGTGGGAATACAAAACAACCAAAAAACAAGTTATTCTTTCAAATGAAATGCTTAGGGAAAAAGAACAACTTTTACTAACAGACATTTCTTAGCCTCTTGAAGGCCATTTGATTCAGTAACATATGCCAGGAGACTTCAGCAATATCCTGCTCCATTGTAGAAAACAGCAATCTGATCCTTTTCTCTCCTCAATCATTAATAAGATTATGCATTTGAGTCATCATAATCCTCCATGGACAAGTACTCCCAAATCATATGCTCCAGTTTCTTCTCAAGGAGCTGAACGAAGTCTCGGCTCATATATCTGAAAATAAAGAGACATGTCATTAACCAAAAGACAGCCGAAGAACCTATGCTGTAGGAAGCATTTTGAAGGATACAAAAATGAAGTAACAGTCAGCATGGAAACAGAAATGTATCTGCACGGTAAGAGGTAGTCTAGTCGGCAATAACAAATGCTGGCGAGGGTGTGGAGAAAAGGGAACCTTCACCCACTGTTGGTGGGAATATAAGTTACTACAACAACTATGAAGAACAGTACGGAGGTTGCTCAAAAAACTAAAAACGAAGCTGTCATATGATCCAGCAATCCCACCGCTGGGTATATGCCCAAGAGAAAGGAAGTCAGGGTACTGAAGAGATATCTGCATTCCCATGTTTGTTGCAGCACCATTCACAGTAGCCAAGATTTGGAAGCAACCTAAGTGTCCACTAACAGATGAATGGATAAAGAAAATATGGTACACATACACCATGGAGTATTCTTCAGACATAAAAAAAAAAGGATGAGATTCAGTCATTTGCAACGACATGGATGGAACCGAAGGTCGTTATGTTAAGTGAAATAAGCCAGGCACAGAAAGACAAACTTCATATGTTCTCACTTATTTGTGGGAGCAAAAATGTAAAACAACTGAACTAATGGAGATAGAGAGTAGAATGATGGTTGCCAGAGGCTGCTAAGGTTAGTGGGGGAGGACAGTGTGGTAAGTGGGGATGATTAATAGGTAGAAAAATAGAATAAATAAGATGTAGTATTTTATAGCCCTATAGGGTGACTATTGTAGGTAACAATTTAATTGTACATTTAAAAATAATGAAGAGTATAATTGGATTGTCCGTAACACAAAGGATAAAAGCTTGAGGTGATAGATACCCCATTTACCTTGATGTGATTATTACACATTGTTGTCTGTATCACAATATCTCATATACCCCAGAAATATATGCATCTGCTATGTACCTACACACATTTTTTAAAAAGAGGTAGTCTAGCAAATACAAAGAGTGTCAATCAAGGGACAATGCGCACCTCAGACTATGGTGAGAATGGAAGTCTCCATAGTCTTCGAAGAATGAGTTAGATTCAGATAACATTAGCCTAAGTAACTGTGGAGACAGCCGTAACTATGAGTGAGGACCAGGGTTTGAGAAACTCAAGGCAGGGGCTGTTCCCCCACGCTCACCCCCAGTACTCTATTGAGTCCAAGTGCTTAAAGAAATTGGACAGTTCCTATTTCTACCCACCTTGCTGCTTCCTTGATGATGGATTCAAAAAATAGTTTCTTGACTTCTATAGGTCCTTGCACTCCTTCAAGCAATTTGAAGATTTTTTCGTATTCTGAAGATGTTTAAAAAAAACCTTCAGCATTATCAAATATAAAGAAGAATACAAGAGAATGTATACCTCAGCAATCATGCTTCACAGGCTAAAATGTTTTAAATCCTTAAATCAAGATACCTGCACATACAAAAACTAAATAATAAAAAGACACCTGCACATACATACAAATGAAACTCTTTTAACCATAACCAAGCAGAAAAGCAAAGCAAAAGGTGTATTATGCTTTAGTTAAAGAAAAGAGGAACCACCGTAAATTATGGGCAAACTCAACTCTGGCAAAGAATGAGTCTCAACAGGTAACATGGATATCTTCTGAATCATAGAAAGAGAGACTTCCTATAGTTCTATAAAACAGACATTCTTATACTACTTACTTCGTCCAATGCTTCGGATTTCCCTCACTAATTGATGTTTTATATCAGCATTAATTTCTTCTTGGCTTTTGGGAAAAGGGACTATTTCTCTGCATTTTAGGTCATCTCCAGAGAAATTGCTGGTAATGATTCCTCCCACAGGTGCATTGCTACCAGGTTTCTGCATCAGCCCATCTTTGCTGAAACCAGCGAAGTCATCAATCTGAGAATCCAACTGGCTTGGTAGAACACCATCTCCTGTCTTAAGCTCTAGTGAAACAGATTTTGACAAAAAGCCGTCAGTTGGTGTTTGACAATTTTCTTTCCCCTCCACATAGATATCATGAATGACAGATCTGGAAACCAAACTGAGAAGTTGAGCTGTGAGAAATGTGTGTTTCATCCCTCCTCTGGGTACATCTATGGGCTACTCAGTTTCTAGGGAATTATTTATTTCATAAATGGGAAGATATACCAGGGGGAAATCCCAGACCTGATGAACTGAGGCCAGGACACATAATACAATAAAACCACCTCTTATTTTCTGGTCCTATGAATAGATATGGAAACCAAGTAAGACAGTACAACTCTAAAGCAACATTCACAGATCCCTGGTACTCATGGGATAGTTCAGTTTGTTATGCTTTACAAGTTGAAAGCAGCAAGTCTCACTTGATATCGTGATTTCTCAAATTCACTTACAAACTGCCATGCTTTACTGAGCTGGAAGCCAGACAACTTGGATACACCACAAGCAGCCTCCTCTCTACACAAATATATTTCAAGAAAATAGAGGCGGCCATTACTGCTGAAAGTGCTATATGCACTCCATCACCAAAAATCCCTTTTAGTGTATGATTTTCCTCATCCTTCCTTTCTGTCCCAGAAAATGACTTTCTTTTCACTCTAGGTCTGACACCTCTCATTTATTCATCCTCTGTGGCAGGCAGCATGCTAGTAGCTGAGGATCAGCAGTAAACAGCCCAGAGAACAACGTTCCCTGCCCTTGTGGAGCTCACATCCTCATGGGGCGGTCAAACAGTACAAGCACAATAAGCAAATGAAACAAATGGCATTGGGCTGGTGGTAGGGAAGCTGTCCACAGGCCGGTGGGCAAGAGCAGCAGAGGGAGCCCCAGGAGCTCTCACTGGTTGTGCAGAGCCTTCTGTGGAGGTACCCTTAGGCAGGGCTTGAAGGAAAAAGCAGAGCTGCCTGCGCAGAGGCAGAGGGGGAGTTCCAGGTTGCCGTGAGGCCAAGGGTATGGACTGGAGTGGGGATGGACTGGGTACTATGGGCTGAAGGACAGAAGCAGAGAGAGTCAGAAGATGATGGGCCCGTGTTAGGAGAGGGTGACAGAGGCCAGGCCATGCAGAACCTTGCAGACAAAAGCTGGTTCAGTCAGTTCTGAGTGCTTAGGAGAGTTGAGGATGGATGTTCAGGAGTGACATGGCAATGATGTGATTTACATGCCAGCATGATGAACTGGCTGTAGGGTTAGAGCGTATGAGTTAGATGGGGACAGTAATGGGAAATGTGGAGGTATCACAGGAGCTCAGTGATTGATCATGGCAGAGTGGAATAGAAGGAGAGAGAGAGATGTCGGGGTTCAGAAAATTTTTACAGTATTTAGAGAAGGGAAGAAAAAGAAAGGTAGAAAAAAAAAGAATGATAGGGGTCGGGGGCGGTGGCTCGTGCCTGTAATCCCAGCACTTTGGGAGGCTGAGGTGGGTGGATCACCTGAGGTGAGGAGTTCGAGACCAGCCTGGCCAACATGACGAAACCCCATCTCTACTAAAATTACAAAACTTAACTGGGTGTGGTGGCTGGTGCTTGTAATCCCAGCTGCTTGGGAGGCTGCGGCAGGAGAATTACTTGAATCCAGGAGACTGAGGTTTCAGTGAGCCAAGATCGCACCACTGGACTCCAGCCTGACCGGGAAGAGCAAAACTCCATCTCAAGAAAAAAATGATAGGGATTCACCAATAAGGACAAGAAATTAAAAAAAAAAAAAAAAAAAGATTGTGGAAAATGGAAATCCTAGAAGGTTTTCATAAAGAAGCGAGTGAACAACTGTCAAATGCTGCTGAGAAATTAATGGCAATGCCAGCCAAAACTGTTGACCTTGTCAAGGACAGTTTCTCTGGAGGGGATGAGGCAGGAGGCTGACTGCACTGGATACAGCATGAAGAGGAGGTGAGGACAGGCTTACTTACTCTTTTCTTTGGACATGGCAGAGCCTGCCGTAAGGCTGTCTCCTGCTCCTTGTTTCCTTGCCAATAGGGCCATCTTCTGCCTTTTCTGATATGAAGGACTGTCACATTCCCTGGGACGTTTAAACACAGTTTCAGGATCTACAGCCACCTTCTCTGTTTTATCGGTCATTGTTTCCTGAAAAACATCAATGAACATATTCCATTCATGACAAAAATCTAACAATCACAAAATGGCAAACTCTCTTCATATATGTATACAACCAAGACTTTGAATCATTAATTTCACTTTTAATCATGAGCCAAGATTTACCAAGTCTCAACAAACACTCTGTTCTCAGGAAAAGAAACCTAATTTTATTGTACACTAAGTAAAAAAAGAAGAAAGATGGTATAACCAAATCAGTCAGAATGCTTGTGGAATAAGCAGCTGTCATCAACCAAAAATAGATGAAAATATTATTACCTATTTGAAGATGTGTAAGCCAATCTGTATTAACCCTTATTAGGAAAAATAGATGTATAAAGCAATCTGTATTAACCCTTATTATACATTATATTTTAAACTACATATATTATACATTATATTATACATCATACACATTTAATATATAAGTATTTATACTTATATATTCAAATAGATGTATAAACCAATCCATATTAACCCTTATTAGGAACTCTTATTAGAAGACTGATAAAAAACTGATAACAACATCTGACAAGGACTTTAGAAGAAAGAAAAACTACAAGATCAAGGCAAAAATACAAGCCAAGATCACCCCTGAACTTAGACACAAAAATTCCAAATTAAAAGTGAGCAAATAAAATGCAATAGTACTTAAAAAGGACATACATCAGCCATGGTGGAGTATATTGCAGAAAGACAACATTGATTTAACATTTGAAAATCAATAAATGTAATGCACCACATTAACAACGACGACAACAAAAACAGGGAAACACCACATGATCATTTTCATACGTGGGTCAATGTTTAAAGTCCATTCGTGATAAAAACTATCACCAACTTAGAAAAAAGGGCAACTTTCCTATTCTGGTTAGCATATGTACAAAAAAATTGTAAATGTCATATTTTATAGTGACATATCAGTATTTTCTCCCTGAGTTTGAAAACAAGACAAAGATGTCCACCATCCATTCAACAATTTACTGGAGGTTCTAAAAGAGCAGTAGCATCAGGAAAATATAATAGGTTTAAAATTTGGAAAGAAATAAAACTGTCAATATTCACAGATGACATTGTTCTGTATATAGAAAATGCAGAAGAATAAAATCATTATGTTTAATAAGCAAATTTAGTCAACTTACTAGATATAATAAAAACCGACGGCATTTCCATATAATTAATAGCAACAAAAAATTAGAATATGAGATTTCAAATGTCATTAAAAACAGTACCAAAACATCAAATATTTAAGAATAAATCTAACCCAGATGTGCTAGAGTACTACACAAAAATTATAAAACATCACTCAGAGAAATTCAAGACTGCAGTAGAAGGAGAAAAATATTCTTTCCATGCATTGGAAGACTTTTTTTTTTTTTTTTTTTTTTTTTTTTTTGGGACAGAGCCTTGCTCTGTCGCCCAGGCTGGAGTGGAATGGCACCGTCTCTGCTCACTGTAAACTCCACCTCCTGGGTTCAAGCGATTTTCCTGCTTCAGCCTCCCAATTAGCTGAGATTACAGGCGCCTGCCATGACGCCTGGCTAATTTTTGTATTTTTAGTACAGACGGGGTTTCACTATGTTAGCCATACTGGTCTCGAACTCCTGACTTCAAGTGATCCATTCGACTCGGCCTCACAAAGTGCTGGGATTACAGGCGTGAGCCACCGCCCCCGGCCGGAAGACATTATTAAGAGACATTATTGTCAAGTCTCTCAGAATGATCATAGCAATCATATTTAAAATTCCACCATGCTAACAAAAGTTTTTCTGGAAATTGACAAGCAGATCATTTTTTAAGTACATGCAAATTAAAGATTTGGAAAAGCCAAGTTTTTTTAAGTCAAAGAAAAGACAAAGTTTTTTTAAGAAAAAGAACTGGCTAGGTGCAGTGGCTCATGCCTGTAATCCCAGCACTTTGGGAGGCCGAGGCGGGTGGATCACAAGGTCAGGAGATCCTGGCTAACATGGTGAAACCCCATCTCCACTGAAAATACAAAAAATTACTTGGGCATGGTGGCGGGCACCTATAGTCCCAGCTACTCATGAGGCTGAGGCAGGAGAATGGCATGAACACAGGAGGCAAAGCTTGCAGTGAGCCGAGATTACACCACTGTACTCCAGCCTGGGCGACAGAGCAGGACTCTGTCTCAAACAAACAAACAAACAAACAACAACAACAAAAAAAAGAACTAAGTTAGTAGAAATGCACTACTATATATGAAATTTACCATAAAGGTAGAGTAATTAAAACAGTATGGTATCAGAGCAATGACAGGCAAATACCAAAGGGAAGAGGACACAGAGGCCAGAAACAATCTGGCAATACAAAATACAGAAGAGCTGTAAATCACTGTGGAAAGGACAGTGCTTTTAATAAATGCACTTGATAAATGCAGGGAAAATACAAACCTTGACTCTTACCTCTTCCCACTCTACAGAACTTTGTTAAAGATGGATAGACAATCTAGTAAACACTTAAGATATTGTCTTCACAACTATAGAATAGGCAAAGATGTTTTTAATGAGGATAAACAAGCACTAACCATAAAGAATGAATTCTTTAATTAGACATAATTAAATGGAAAACTTCCATTCCTCAAAGACACTATTAAGATACTGAAAACCAAAGCATGTTTATAGATTATATATTATGTGTTATATAGTATAGGTTATATATAAAAATATATATTAATTACACACACATATACATATATATCTGGCAACAAATGAGTGGAATCCAGAATATATCCAGAACTACAAATCAATTTCTAAAAAACAAACATCCCAATAAAATTTGGGGGGAAAAGCTGAAGATTCACTTCATAAGAGTCATACTCAAATGGCTAATAAGCACATCAAATATATCTGGTCTCTGACTTTACTCCATTCCATGAGAATTTATTTCAGATGATTGGGAGATCTAGAAGAAAACTTAGAATATTATCATCATGAGTGTAAATTAGTTTAACCATTGTGGAAGACAGCGTGGTGATTCCTCAAGGATCTAGAACCAGAAATACCATCTGACCCAACAATCCCATCACTGGGTATACATCCAAAGGATTTTAAATCATTCGACTATAAAGACACATGCACATGTGTGTTTATTATAGCACTATTCACAACAGCAAAGACCTGGAACCAACCCAAATGCCCATCAATGATAGACTGGATAAAGATAATGTGGCACATATACACCACGGAATACTCTGCAGCCATGAAAAAGAATGAGTTCATGTCCTTTGAAGGTACCGGTGTCAGCAAGCTAACACAGGAACAGAAAACTAAACACCACATGTTCTCACTCATAAGTGGGAATTGAACAATGAGAACACATGGATGCAGGGAGGAGAACATCACATAGCGGGGCCTGTCAGGGGTTGGGGGGCTAGGGGAGGGAAAGCATTAGAGAAATACCTAATGTAGCTGAGAGGTCAATGGGTGCAGCAAACCACCATGGCATGTGCCTACTTATGTAACAAACCTGCACATTCTGCACATGTATCCCAGAACTTAAAGTATAATAATAATAAAAAAAGAATATTATCGTAATGGCATTGGGTGAGGCAAAGATGTTTCTTAAAATAATAAAAAGCACTAGCCATAAATAATACACTGATTAATAAAATTAAGAGAATCTGTTCATCTAAAACACATCATTGAGATCGTGTAAAAGCAAAAAAGATTTATAGAAGATACTAAAATTGTATATGTATTTTTATATATGTACATATATGCCTGTGTGCATGGGTGTATAACTCAAATACAGATTATATGGAAACTACAAATCCATTTTTAAAATGCAAACATCTTAGTAAAAGCTGGGGAAAAATACCTGAAAAGGAACTTCATAAAAGACAAAGTTAAATGACCAATAAACATAAAATGGTGCAAAAAAAAAAAAAAAAAAAAAACAAACAAAAAAAAAAAACGATAAATAGCTGGGTGTGGTGGCACTGCAAGCCAGCCTGGGTGCCAGACGGAGACCCCGTCTCAAAAGACAAACAAAGATCAATACATAAAAACAATTTTTAAAAAGGTGCTCGATCTCATTAATCAGCAGAGAAATGCGAGTGTAGACATAAGGAGAGATCACTGCACCCCCATCAGAGTGGCTGGAATGAAAGACTAACTGTATTGCAAGTGTTCCAATGTGGCACAGCTGGAACCTTCGAATATTTCTGGACCCCCATTCCTGCACAGCCACCTGAGGCTGCGGCTGAAAGGTCAGATAGAATACCCGCGAAGAGTTCCTTCAGAATTGAGATCAACCAACCGAGGAAAAGCACCCCAACCCTGGGCAGAACGGCGTTCTCAAGGTCACATGACCTCCTTCATGGCTGACACAGAGCTCCCTGAGTCTCTCCATGGGCTTAGAGAATCCAAGGAACAGCACCCCATTCCCCTGCAGCACCAGGAGAGAGCACCCACAGATAATAATTTTAGAAACCTAGCACCAAGAGAAAGCATACAGTAAACGTCTACATCAGGGAAAAGCAGAACCAAATAAAAGCTAACACATTCTACCTGAGAGCGAGCAACATCCAAGGACAAATGCGCCCCACGGCCGACATCAGCACCCAAGGAAGAGTCCCTCGGGGGTCGAGATAAAGCCCCCAACAGTGACCCCATAAGGCTGCGATCAGGCGTCTGGGGCACAGCCACCCCCACCACGTTCCATGAGCACAGAAAGGGTCCCCAAGGCAGAATGCTCCCTCAGGACGGCGACTGAGCGGGAAAGAAATGCCGCCGCACCCAAGGCCGACACAGGCAACCAAGGCATGCCCCCCATCCCTGGGCTAAGGTCATTTCAGTAGGAAAAGTCCCTAGCATCACCGAGAGGGAGCCCCGAAGAAAAGCCCCCCAACCCAACAACATAGCCGAGACGGGGTGCCCACGGAAAACACTCCCCGATGGCTGACACAGGCTCCCATGGCGGTGTCCCCAGAGCGGAGCCACTTCCCCAAGGGAGCCCTACCACACACCGGACAGAGAACACCACAGAAAAGATGCTTTCCAAGGAAAAAGGACACTTTCCGGGGTGAAATTAAAAGTATCCAGGGAAAAACTGCCCACTCACAGTCCTAGAGTCCTGACCTCGCTGAAGGAGAGACGGCGGCACCTCACAAAATGGCAGTGAACCTGTGGCGCCTCCCTAGTGGTGGCAGTTTCTAGAAACCTGCCCTCTGGGAGTTGTGGGAAATGTGCCCCCTAGGGCACCTGGGAGTGATGTGCATGGGGAGGCGTCTCACCAGAAGCAGCGATCGGTTCGGCCCAAGGGGGATGGAAGGAAGGGAAATAACCAGCCACAGCGTGCCTGTCCCAGCGGAACATTGGGAACCTGTTGGGGGCGCCAGGGTCCTGAGGAGAAGCCTCATGCCCCAGAGAACCAGGAAACGCAGCCCTCCCCTTCGCTGACTCTGGCGCCTTCTACAGGCGACCTTTAGTAACAACTGCACAGCAGCATAAGCAGAGAAACACAGAACCTTCTCAACATAGCGGGATGAAACCGCCTGGGTAACATAGTGAGACCCCGCCTCTACAAAGCAACCAACCAATGAATGAATGAATGAATGAATGAATGAATGAATGAATGAATGAATGAAAGAAAGAAAGAAAGAAAGAAAGAGAGAAAGAAAGAAAGAAAGAAAGAAAGAAAGAAAGAAAGAAAGAAAAGACGCAAAAATCAAAAATCAGCCCGGCATGGTGGCACACGCCTGTAGTCCCAACTACTCGGGAAGTTGAGGTGGGAAGATCGCTTGAACCCAGGAGATGGAGGTAGCAGTGAGCCACTGCACTCCAGCCCAGGCGATAGAGGAGACTCCATCTCAAAAAAAAAAAAAAAAAAAAGGAAAAGTAAAGAAAAATAAACAGCAACGCAAGAAACGAAATTTTCATTTGGGGGTGTTGTGTTTAAAGTCAACCCGACCAGGCGCAGTGGCTCACCCTGCCTTAATCTCGGCGCCGGGAAGCCAAGCGGCTACGTTACCTCGAGGTGAGAGTTTAGAGACCAGTCTGACCAACATAGTGAGAATTCCGTCTCTACTAAAAATACAGAAAATTATCCAGGCATGGTGGTGCGCACCTGTAGTCCCACCAGCTACTTGGGAGGCTGAGGCAGGAGAATCACTTGAACTGGGGGGGCAGAGTTTGCAGTGAGCTGAAATCACACCACTGCACTCCAGCCTGGGTAAGTGAGAGCTGAAATCACACCACTGCACTCCAGCCTGGGTAAAAGAGTGAGACTCTGTCTACAAATAAAAATAAAGAAATAAATAAATAAATAGCCAACCTCTATCTGTTAAAGGTAACCATTATTGTTAATTGATAAGTAAAATGAGGGCCGCAGTGCAGTGGCTCACACCTGTAATCCCAGCAATTTGGGAGGCCAGGATGGGTGGATTCCTTGAGCCCAGGAGTTCAAGAGCAGCTTGGGCAGCATGGTGAAAACCTGTCTTTACACAAAATACAAAAATTAGCTGAGTGTGTACCTGTGGTCCCAGCTGCTTGGGAGGCTTGAGACCAGGAGGTTGAGGCTGTATTGACCTTTGATCGCACCACTGCACTACAGCCTGGGTGACCAAGTGAGACTGTAAAAAACAAACAAACAAAAAAAGAAGAAAGAAAGAAAAAAAGAAAGGAGGGGAAAACTTAATATATTGCATCTATTAATCATTTTAATATGGAACTTTGTATATTTTTCCACCTTTTTTATTTTTTTGAGACAGAATCTGGCTCTGTCGCCCAGGGTGGAGTGCAGTGGCATGATCTCGGCTCACTGCTACCTCTGCCTCCCAGATTCAAGTGATTCTCCTTCCTCAGCCTCCCGAGAAGCTGGGATTACAGGCATGCACCATCATGCCTGGCTAATTTTTGTATTCTTAGTAGAAACGGTATTTCACAATGTTGGCCAGGCTGGTCTCAGACTCCTGACTTTAAGTGATTCGTCTGCCTTGGTCTCCCAAAGTGCTAGGATTACAGGTGTGAGCCACTGCGCCTGGACCATTTTTCCACTTTCACAACTTATTTTAAGTGCAGCAAAATTTACTTGCATTGTCTATAGTGGCAAAAAAATATTACAGCAAAATTTTTAGAGTTTTAATGGAGCAAGCAGTTTCACTCTTGACACAATTATTTGGAAGGGATTACTTCACTGGTTTTATAATTCAAAAGTTATGTTTGTAAAAAAATTGAAATTGAAATTAAAGTTATAAAATATAGCCAGGCATGGTGGTGGGTGCCTGTAATCCCTGCTACTCGGGAGATAGAGGCAGGAGAATCACTTGAACCTGAGAGGTGCAAGCTTTGGTGAGCAGAGATCACGTCACTGCACTCCAAAGGAGCAGAGATCCATTGTCACTGGGGGACAAAGGGAGACTCCACCTCAAAATAAATAAATTAATTAAAATTAAAAATTATGTTTGTTAAGTACCCTGTTAGAAGAGAGTCATTTTCAGTATTACAGCTTCTTGGCCTATTGTGTTAATATTTGCCTGTGCTTCAGAACCTTCATAGAACACATTTTCTTTCGGAATATATTTGACTGATAAGGAAGCTTAAACATTGTTATCATTCGATGTAGGAACACAGTTGTTTTGTTTGTTTCTTCTAGTGCTATCAAAATGAAATACTCATTTTTGCATTAAAAAATCCCACCACAGCAGTACTCATATGCGTATTTGATTGAATAACCATGAGACTGGAATCTTGGAGGGGCATAATTAGAATCCTGCCTACCACACAAGCCATAAGTGAATAGCTGCATATGACAGTCCTGACTGGGACAGCCCTGAAGGACAGTGGTGATGGGAAATCCTCCCAGAGGGAAGAACTTTGAGCAGTGCACCTTCTTAGAGGAGACATATCCAGACGTGTAAGTATGTATCATGCATAGGCTGTGTCCCACTTATTAGCTGAATTGTCAGGGACTTTGAGGACACATGATTAAAAATTTGTGACAAGGAGATCTGAGATAAAAACATATGTGGACAGACCTTTGCAAATGGACATACAATGTGAAGTTATTGGGGTCTCATGAGAGTTCTCAGCAAAGGGTATCCTCAGCAGAGCAGAATTTTAATAATCGGATGGATAAGGTACTTATTATCTAGATATTAATCAGCCTCTTTCCCCAATGCTTGTGTCACAATCTTATGGGCTCAACAAACAAAGTGGTCAAACTGTCAGGGATGGAGATTATGCGCAGTAGCATGGACTTCCACTCACCATGGCAAACCTTGCTACGGTTATTGCTGAGTGAACAATCTTCCAAGAACGGAGACCAATACTAAGCCACCAATTTGGCCCCAGACTCCAGAATGATCTGACAGTCACTAGTTGGTATGTGGATTACAATGGATCACTTCTATTATAAAAAGAGAAGTGCTTTCTTCTTACCTGAACAGACATTTAGTCTAGATATGGATTTTCCTTCCCACTTGCAGTGCTTTTGAGAAAACCAATATTTGTATTTTGGCTTCCAAAATTCTGGAAAATGCTAGTTCCTCAACTTCCTAGGGTTATTAATTCTGGAGACTCTAATATACACTGTAAGAAAACCTGTAGGCCATCCACTCGGGTGCCCAAATGGAGTCACTCTTAAATAACGAGCCCTGCATGTTTCCAGAAACTCTATTTATCAGTGAAAAGTTTACTGTGGCAGCCATTTCTCCACCCAGGACAATTGGAGAATGGCAGATATTAGGGACTATTAACTCTGTAAAAGCTGTAGAAGACTGCAGTGAAGAATCACAGTTACAGAACGAAAAGTGACAGTCTTCTATTTTGGATGTTTGTACAAAGAGGATATATAATTAATAAAGTGCTTGAGGAACAGGTTTCTGCCTTAATACCAAAAACTAACATAGAAACCTGTAAAGGTGTCTCAGTATAGTAATCCTTTTTATGTATATCTGCTTAAGATTTAAAACTGAAGCTTTCTTTTTCAACCTTTTTAAAATTTTGATGCCAGAAGGGTACATGTACAGGTTTCTCACCTGGGTATAATTGCATAATGCCAGGGTTTGGGCTTCTACTGAACCCATCACCCAAATAGTGAAGAGAGTATCCAATAGGTAGTTTCTCAACCCTCCGACCTGCTCCCTTCCTCCCCTCCACCTCCATTTTGGAGTCCTCAGAGTCAATGGTTTCTACCTTTATGTTCATGTGTACCCATTGTTTAGCTCCCACATATGAATGAGAACGTGCTGTATCTCATTTTCTGATTATCGGATTTTGCTTCTGCGTTTCACTTAAAAGTGAAGTTTTCACTGGTGGCTTTCATAATTGGTTCACGCCTGTAATCCCAGGATTTGGGAGGCAGAAGTTTATAGATGCCATAATTTCATATTAGTAAGGGAGATATGACAAAGTAAACAAAGTGTTTGGACTCTTTAACTGGAGAAATATTACTTTCTATGAATAAATCTGATCTACAAAAGAAGCCGCTTACGTAACTCATAAATATTCTGTTGATATGTCTTGTAGAGTTTCATCTCCAATAATTGGTTTAAAACAGAACAGAGTATCAATACTTTGTAACACAACAACATCACATTTGGATCTTGTAAAACTGACTCAGTAATCTACCTTTGCCCAGTCTTATCCAAATTTAGCCTTAAGATTTTTATGAACAATGCCAGTGACAGTGGCATCCTGCCAAACAACTTTCAGTAAGCTGAAGTTGAATAAAAATCACTTGGGATCATGACTTGGTCAAGAGAAATTGTCACACATGGCAATTCTTCTCATTGAAAATGAGATCGACAAAGTAGTATATTTTGAAAATATCACGAGTTTGTTTGCATTAGAGCCAGAAAGTAAGATGTTAATAAATTATATTTGGAGCATAAATAAAATATTCCAATTTAAAATAATCTTGCAAGAGGGCGCAGTAGCTCACACCTATAATCCCAGCACTACAGGAGGCCGAGGCAGGTGGACAGCTTGAGCCCAGGAGTTCAAGACCCATCAGCCTGGTCAACATGGCAAATCCCATCTCTACAAAATATATAAAAACTAGCCAGGTGTGGTGGTGTGCCCCTGTAATCCCAACTACTTGGGAGGCTGATGTAGGAGGATTGTTTGAACCCGTGAGTTTGAGGCTGCAGTGAGCCACATTATGCCACTACACCCCAGCCTGGGTGACAGAGCAGGACCCTGTCTCAAAATAATATATATATATATAAAATATATATTATATATTTACTTTATATATAAAATATATATATTATATATTTACTGTATATTATATATGATATATCTACTATATATGTACTATATATAGTACTATATATGATATATCTACTATATATCATAAATAACAAAA